CGGGAGGGTTTAGCCACAGATGTGTTGTATTTTTTGAAAGTGCAATAACTTGGTATTTTGAAGACCCGGCATGTGGCCAGGCCCCCTGCAGTAGGTGGGAGGGCCCCAGGGTGCGGCACCGTGTGGCGTGGGGGGTCTCAGTTTTCTAGCCAGCTACCTCGGTAACTCCAATTCAGGTTAACTTCCCTACGGAGCAGCGCAGATGTCCACAGATGCCGCCGCCGGCCCCACCACTTCTGAGGGGCCGCAGGGGCCCTCCCCGTGCTCTCAATTTGAGGGGGCTTCTCCCCTCTTCTTGCTCTTGGGTTTTCTGACGGGTACGGGTACCAGGCTTGCCCGGCACCCCTCCCCTGGGCGCTCTTGTCTTCCAATAGGGCTGGGCCGGGGCTTCCCTCCGCCCCCAGGCACCAAACCTGCCCCTCCCCGGTGGGCCCGGCCTTGGGGGTCCAGCAACTGTGGGGCTTCCACAGTAGCCCCAGGTGCCTCCAGGACCCACAATTGGGTGCCTGCCCCCCTCCCCCCGCATCCTCACCCCTAGGAGGCTGTGCTTGGTTCTCCAAACCACCTCTGCCCCACAGTTCTGTTTTTGCTTTATTCCCCTCCCCTAAGCCCCAGAATAATTTTCTTTTGTATAAACAGAACTCTCCTAGTCAGGAAGCAATATCACTTCAGGTCTAAAGAAGAAAGGGACATAAAATCTGGTCGAGGGCAAATTCAGTTTTACTGTATAAACTCAGTTGCGCAGTTCAGTCCCCTCCGTCTGCACTGGCAGCCGAGGGCCGCTCTTTTCTAATATTTGTATTCTAATTTAATTGTTTTTTAAAAATGCAAATAAAAAGTCAAAGTGAAGCCACCAAGGAGTCCCCTCTTCTGTGTCGGGCGTCCCCTCCAGGCAGGGGAAGGGGAGAAGGGCCACGTGGCGTCTCCTGGTCACGACGTGCAGCATTTGAGACGGCGCCATTTTGTGGAAAGGAGATTTCGTCTCGAACTTCAGGGCCTGGTGTCTCCGCTGCTGGCCTGGGCAGGGAGTTGGGGTTGTCCCTGGCTTCCTGGGGGGCCGGTGAGCTCATCAGAAGGTGGCTGGTCTTGTCAGCCCCCAGGAACTGCAGGTCACACCTGAGGCAGCACTTCACCCCTTAGGCCAGTGAGACCCCCGGAGACTGGGCAGGAGCTGGCAGGCCCAGAGAGGCTGGAGCCCCTGCGTTGGCTGGGGGAAGGGGAAGGGGCTGCCACCGAGGAAATAGACCAGTAGCGCCTCCAGAGTTACCCATGGGGTTTCCATCTGACCCAGCAGCCCCGGATACCCAGAGGCAAGTGGGCGCAGGTTCGTATGAAAACTTGTACACGCATTACAGCAGCGTTGACTCACTGCAGACAAAAGCAGGCACAGCCCGTGTCCGCTGACCACTGGGTTGACAGTGTGATCTCTGGACCGTGAAGTCCTCACCGACGTGCTACATCATGGATGACGTTTAGTAACGGGACACGAAAGGCCGCACCCGGCGTGATTCCATCTACATGACTTGTTCAGAATGGGGCATCCACAGAGAATGGGCTGGTGGCTGTCGGGGGATGTGAGTGACTGCTAGTGGGGATGGGTTTCTTTTTGGGCTGATAGAATGTTGTAAAACTAGACAGGTGATGGTTGTGCAATTCAAATACACTAAAACCATTGGTTTTCCAAGTGTGAATTGAGTGTGAATTACATCTCAAAAACAGGCCTCTGTGGCAGGGTGTGGGAGCATGTGCGAGGGAGGCCCTGGCTCACAGTCTGGTCAGGGTCCTCCAGTCCCCCGAGGGGCTGGCTCAGGTCATCTGGGGTCAGGTGCAGCTGTGGAGCTGGCTGCAACCCCACCAGCCCAAGCTGGAGCCCTGGGTTTCCAGTGTGCCGCCGTGTGACCATGTGAGTGCAGACAAGTAAGTGACCTTGGCCCTGAGGGGGGAACCTCCAGTGTCACCCAGCTTCCCACCCCCAAGCCACCGGCCTGGAGGAGTTCCCAGGCAAGGGCTGGCCCGCCTACCAACCTGTGACGCCCTGTGGAGCACAGCCCACAGAGGGGCTGAGTGCAGACCGTCACCCCGCTTATCCTCTCCCAGGTTGTGGCGTGATGCTCTCTGACCCCCTTCGGTGTCCCTCCATCACCCCACCCCGACTTGAGTCCGACCACTGGGGAAAGGAGGAAGGAAGCCTGGAGATGGCGGTGTTCGGTGGCCCCAGTCACTCCCAGGGGATGTGGGAGAGTTGCCAACGTGGGTTTCTGCTCCAGAGCCTTAGCAGTGTCGCTGGGGCCTGGCGTGGGGCCATCCCTGGGGGCCTCTCGGGTGCTGGCGTTCCTGGCCAAGGCCACCCTGCTCGGGCCCTCCACAAACCCTGCAGATGGAAGTGACCGAGGAGGCCGCCAGGCAGCTCTTCCTAGCCAACCTGTGAGTGCCCACCCCTCCCGTGGGCAGGAGCAGGGGTTGTGGGTCACTTCCTGTGTAGAGGCCCCAGGCTTGGCACTGCCAGCAGTACCCCCACCCTGCCCTGGGGGTCCAGAGCTGGGCTCACTTCCTGCCCCAGAGACTAGCGAGGGTCAGGCCGCCTCTCCCTGGAGCCCCACGTGGTGTGGACAAGGGGCCCCCCGGGGAGAGGCCCTCCAACCCTCCACTCCCCATCCCCTGCCTCCCCGAAACAAAACACAAAGAACGTGAAAATCAGGCAAATGAGGCGGCAGCGGTCGTAACAGGCTGCATTTAGTGGTTTCTTTATGTACAAGAAAAATGATTTTTTTTCTGGTTTTTCATCATCTTTTGTCTTTTTTTTATTACTTTTAAAGCTTCTCCCCCCACCCCCAAAAAGTGCATTTTTATCAATTGAATTTTTTAATCTCCCACACTTTATAAAGACTCTCAAATACAGTCTGGAATGTCTGCTCTGTGCTCCACCCCGCAGGTGCTGCCCAGCTCCCCCCCCCCGCCCCAGCCTGGCCCCCCCAAAGTCCAAGGCACCTTGTGTCTGGGCCTGTGTGGGGCACAGGGGGGAACCTGGGCCTCGGGACCCTCAGCAGCAGGGGTGGCTTCCAGGCAGCCCCCAGCCATGAGATGGGGTCTCCCCGGCCTTCACCATCCCCTAGCCCCGTCCCTCACCCCGCGTCAATCTGTATTTAGTACGAGCTAGACTCCGAGGTTCCGGCTCCCAGGGGCCTGCACCCCCAGGCCCTGACCCGTCCTGCCCCAGCCAGCCCCCACCCCCTTCCAGGAAGGCTGCTTCCTCAGCTTAAATAACTTTTTAAAATAAAACTGCAAATATAAATATCTTTCTTTCTCAAAAAAATAGGACTTTTGCTTTGCTTTTTTTTTTTCCTCTTGCTTTTCCTTTCCCTCTGCCTTGCCCCCTACAATCCTGGCTGCCTGGGCTCCGGGGGGGGCCTTGCTGTGGTCCCACCTGGGCCAACAGCTGCTCCCGCCACAGTCAGTGGGCCTCAGTAGTGCAAACCCCCCAGAAGACCCTGGAAGGGGCTGGTCCTCCCCCCTCCCCAGACCCCCCTTTGGACGGAAGTGAAAGGACAGCCCAGGCGAGGTGGCCACGGGGCTCAGGGGCTGGCTGCCTCAGGGCAGACTTTGGTGTGGCCCTCTGGACCCCAGCTGGGCACAGACCCATACCCGCGCCAGTCTGGGCCTGGTCTGGCACTTTACATTCACTGGTTTTTATTTTATTTTTTTTAAGTTTTTTTGCCTTTTTAAAATTTTCTCTTAATCTCAAAAGGCGGGGTTGGGGTCGGGAGGGATTTAGGCAGGGAGCAGCAGCAAAGGGTATTAATTCTCTCTCCCAGGCCCACGACTGGCAATCACTCCAGGTGAGGGCTCTGCACCCCAGAGCCCCCCAGAGCCCCCACCTGAAGCCCCCCAGCCTGGACCTCACTCACACACGCGCGCGCACACACACATCCACACACATCCACGCAACTTCACCAAGATGATGTAAATAACAATTTCGCTTTGTTTTTCTTTTTTCTTTTTTTTTTTTGTACCAGGCAGTTAAAAAAAACACCCCAAAAAAAGAAAACACACAAAAAAAAACCCCAAACAACCAAACAAAAAAACTTTTTGCTGTGTCCTTTCTGACCAGTCAGCACGTTCCCCCTCAAATATTTTTTTTGTTTGTTTGTTTCCTGAAACGCGAGAATTCAGCAGTATCTTTGGCAACACTTTATCACGACCTTAATTTAAAGAATAAAAATAAAATTGATCCATGTCTATATACAGTATGTGATTGCGTGGGGCTGGGGGGCTGGCGGGCGGGGTCCTGGCTCTGGGCCCATGCAGACGCTGCGGCACCCGGGCAGGGCTGGCAGGCAGCAGAGAGGGGTTAAGGCGGAGTGGGCGGGCAGGGCTGGCAGAAGCTGAGCTCGGAGCTAGGGGCGAGGATTTAGTGCAATTCCCCAAGAGGTTTGTGTTAAAGTGTGCTTGGAGGGGTTTGGCCGGTGTATCTGCCATCGTCCAGAGGCCTCGATCCCCCAAGTCTGGCTGTCCCCACTGGCCAGGACGACAGTTGTGATTTTTCAGTTGGTTTTATTGCAAGGGGGTACATGGCGGGGGAGAGGGTTCTCCTCTCAAGGAACCTCTCTGGGAGCTGGGGGGGTGGGGGGTCCCTGGCCTGGGCACTCTGCTCGGCTTCCACAGATGGGTTTCAAAAGAGCTACGCCCCTTGACACTAAGGTGTGAACGAGGCCACCTGGCCCTGGGCTCCCCTACCACCCCCCTCAGGAGGGGGGGTCCTGAGACATTTGGGGGGCTGATGGGCTCAGGGTGGGGCGGGAAGGGAAGGGTAAACTATCCTGTAGAAATAATAAAAGTTGCCTTCTTGAAAAGCTTCCCTTTAAGAAAAAAAAAAGACAAGATGACGGGGTTTGTCACAGAGCACAGAGGCCTGGGAAGACGGGCCAGGGGCTGAGGGGAGAGCAGGAGCCCTGCGCCTGGACTCTGACGAGGAAGGGTCTCAGCTCAGCAGAGCGTCTAGACAGGGTCCCACTCTAGGCATTGCATATGCAAGAGGGAGTTGGGGTGAGGGTGCCCTGGCCTCTGGCAACATGGTCTCCCCAACCCTGGCCCCTGTCCGTGGCCTGTGGCTCGGTCAACACCGGGCCTTTAGGGAGCCAGAGGCTGGGGGGAGGCAGGCGCCAGCCCCCAGATTACAGTCAGTGCCTTTGAGTAAAAAGAGGGGTGTCTGGGGGATGTAAGGCCCTGCGGGTGGGGCCCCGTCACCCACCTCAACAGGGATGGCATGTCCAACACGGCAGCTCCTTGGTGGCCACAAGGAAGGGCAGCCGTGTTGGAGGGGAGGCCCCGAGGGCTGGAAGCCCCGAAGTGGGCAAGGGCCAAGGGGTGGGGGACACTGAGGGCGAGCGGGGCAGATGGGGACTAAGTTGCTCTGGCTGGTTGGAAGCCAGCCCTCTCTCAGGCCCATCCCTGAGCTAGGGAGTCAGGAAGGGGGCCCCGTGGACAGGGGTGGCCATTTTATGGCTAGTGGGGGGGGGGAGACATCTCCAAAGAACCAAAAGAGAAGAGGGAGGGAAGGGAGGACACGGCAGAAACAAAGAGCCCAGTCCTGCCTCTGCGCGCCCCGGCGGGTGTGGGCCTCCGGCCCGCCGCGCCTTCCTGACCCCCTCACCTCGGGGAACAGAAGTGGATTCTACGTCTGTGGTGGGTTTTTTTTTTTATTATTTTGTACAAAAATAAATCAACTTTTAGGAATTTCTTTTTGCTCTCTCTCTCGCTCTCGCTCTCTCTCTCTCGCTCTATTTTTTTTGTCTTTTCGACTTTTCATAGAAGTTGGTTGCAACTTGTAAACATGTTTTTAAATTAAGAATTAAGATAAAGTGTAGTACCCGTTCTGTTACAAAGTGCCAAGACTTCTATTGTGGTTGGTTGCTTTTTTTTTTATCCTTTCATTTGTAAAATCTAGTTTTTATTGCTTTTGTGACACTGGAACTTCTGGACTCTCTCTCCCCTCATCCCTGCCACCGTGAGACCCTGGGTTTCCTCTACTCTGGGCTATCTCACCCCACACTGGTGCCTGCTCCTCTGAGGAAAAGTATATTTTATATATATATATATCTATATATCTATATATAAATTTTGTTTTTAAGGAGGAAAAGAGGGAAACAAATCTAAAAAGTGCTTTAAAAAATCGGGAGGGGCTGAGGGACAGGAGGGTGAGGACAAGAAGTTCTGAATCTCCAAATGTCTCACGGGGTCTGGGCGGCCTGGGCTGGGGAACAGACGTGGGTGGCAGGGGGCGCCCTGAGCGGTAGCCCTTGGGTGTCCCGCTGAGTTGTAAGTGCATGAATGAAGGCAGCGGGAGCCCCTGAGAGCTGCCCTGGCGCCCCCCGAGCCCCCCTAGCCTTCTCCCCTTTACTCCACGCCTGGAAATAAATAGATTTGTGTGGCAGCGGCCAGGAGATATGGGAACCACAGGCAGGAATGGGGGGAGGCTGACGGGGAGACGGGGGGGAGACCCCCCCTTAGTAAGTGCCCTGAGGAAGGAGGGTAGGGAATGAGGACAGGGGTCGTTTTAACGTCCGCTCACGGCAGACAGAAAGCATTTAAGGTCTCGTCTGAAAGACTCGTATAAACCAGCGAGGGAAGAGAAGAAAAGCCCACCCCAATCCCGGCCCCCGGCCATCCTCACCGCTGCCCGGTCCTGGGGCGGGGCCCCGACACCTTGCCCGGGCATCCTGAGGAGAGGGGCGCGGTGCTCAGAATCCTTGTGTCCCACAAAACCCCTAACCAAGCCCCAAAACCCATCGATGGGGTGGGGGGAAGGGGCCAGGGAGAGGCGAAGGTCCCGTGGAGGGAGAGAACATGATGAAGGAGGAAAATCTGAGAAAGCGCTACCCTAGATTCTGTGACGGTTCATATATATATATCTGTATATATATATATAGATATAGATATCTGTATAGAGATTTTCTTTTTTTGTGGTTTTTTCGGGGGGTGGTGGGTGATTCTCTCTCTCTCTCTCTCTCTCTCTCTCTCTGATTTCTGTTTTCGCTTTTTGGTTTTCAGGCGAGTCCGGCCGCGAAGGTGCCATCGGCCGTGGTCCCAGTGCCACCGTCACCTCCCCCTCCGGCGCCCGCGACATTCAACCTGCCCAAGCCATCAGGGCTGGCCTCCTCCTCGTCCTCCTCCTCGTCCTTAAAGTGCTTCTCCTGGCCGTTGCGCCGGGCGTCGGGGGAGCCAGGTGGGGCAGGCGCACCGGGCGGGGCGGGGGCTCCTGTGACGGGGTCGGGCCCCCCGAGCCCCCCGGCCCGGACTCGGGGCTTCCGGCCTCGGCGCGAGGGGACGCCGTTGCAGCCGTCCTTCTTGAGGTGTCTGTGCAGGTGGTCGGAGCGGACGAAGGTCTTGCAGCAGCTGTCGCACTGGTAGGGGCGCAGGCCGGTGTGCACGCGCATGTGGTTCTTCAGGTCATAGTTGTGGGCAAAGGCCGCCCCGCACTGCTGGCACAGGTACGGCTTCTCGCCCGTGTGCTTCCTCATGTGCACCTTGAGCTTGTCCTGCCTGCGGATGGGGGCGAGGGTCAGCGGACGGCAAACTCCTACTCAACCGTCAAAAACCCCCCCCCCCCGCCACTGGCCTGGGGTTCGAATGGGGACATTCAGCCAGAGCGTCCAGGCTCACGGTTCCGAGGATGGCTGAATCCCCTGAACCCTTTACGCAGACAGCTTGGGCAGCCTCTTGCCGGGCGCCCAGCCACGTGGCGGGACATTCACTCCCACCACAGGCATTTACTGAGCACCCGTTGGGTAGTCGGGTGCTAGGCCCCGTTCCGGGGGTTGAAAATACAGCAAAAACAAGGCAGGAAACTGGGGTGGGGGATAACAGAAAGCATTACCCCAGGGGCTCCAGACCCCCTTATTCTGCTCTGATCACAGGGGCCAGCAGCCAACCTTGCCATGCCCACCTCACCCCCAGGGGACAGCACAGCCTGGGCCCTCTAGTCCACAAAGCTGGTCACTGTCCGATCAGTTCTGGGGTGACTCCAGTCTGGGTACCACTCTGCCCTTTCCAGAAGCCACTGGCCCTGTGGGCCCCTGAGCTCCTGAAATGTGGCCTGGCCAAAAGCCACAATGGGCACCCTAAATTCCTGAAGATTTCCTCTGCCTGATGCAGCGTGAATGGCTCATTTGTAACTTTGTACATCAATTGTATGTTGAGTCTACTGGGTTACAGAAAATCAGATTAAAGTGACTTTCACCTATTCCTTTTACTTTTTAAAGATGTGGCTGCCACAAAATCTAGCGTCCTCGAGGCGGCTCTCAGGGTATTTCGTTTGCGCTACCCATACTGGTGGGGGTTCCTCTGTGGAAGCTGCAGGGCAGAAGAGGACCCTGGGCCTGTTTCCAGGGCCCTGGTTAGCACCTGTCTGCTCCGTGCTGCAGCCTGTTGGGCCATTCTGGTTTCTTCTGTCCGAGTGACTGAGTTTCCGTGAAACAGACATGGGAGGGGCCCATCCTGAATGTCCCCTCCCTCCAGATAATTCTCCCTGGCCCCAGGTCCCGCTCCTGGCACTGACCAGAGCTGGTGTCCCTACTTGCTAACTTTCATGGCTCCCTGCTGCCTGCGGAGGAAGGCATGGGCCTTTACAACCAGACCCCTGCCTCCTCTCTGGCTTTGTTACCGGGTGGGAGTTGCGAGAACAGGGGCCACAGTGACCTCGCTGCTCCCCGGACTAAGAGTCTGTTAGGAACTACCTCCCCCTGACCGCCCCACTAGTCCAGGACTGAGGTCTCAGTTGCCCTGACCGGATCTGAGCGTGAGGCTGCAGCCCCAAAGGGGACAGCAGGGACTCAGATTGTTCGAGCACCACAGACTTCTCAGGATGATGCTCAGAAGCTTAGAGAGGGGAAGTGACTTGCTCTGAGTTGCACAGCAGGTTGGGGGCTGTGCCCAGGTGGGGTGGGAGTGGAGGCAGCCCCAGTTTCACCACCTCAAGCTCCAACCTGGGTAATTATAGCCCTGGCCACCACAGGCCCTGCTTACTCAACTCCCATGTGTGACTCAGAGGGGCCCACTGGCTCCACCGCTTGGAGGGAGGAGAGGGGCAGAGAGGTGCAGGTGGGTGTGTGGGAGGAAAAAACCTGGCTGGTGCTCCGCTCTGTGCCTCAGTTTCCCTGACTGCCAAACAGGATCAACCCTAAGTTGCAGGGTGGGGGTGAGCTGGCTGAGAGAATCCCTGAATCTCAGGCCTCTGGTTAGAAGGCCCAAGGAGCCCAGACCTCTGCTTAGCATGGTCACTTCTTCTGACCTTGGCTCACTGGGCTTCTATTTCCTAGGCCCAGAAACCCCACAGCGGTTGGGGTTCAGGGTCATCTCAGACCCCCCCTTTGGGAGAAGGAAGTTCAGAACCTCCATACGTTACCAGCAGCCCAGTCCTGCCAAAGCTGCCATCAACTAGAACACTGGCCTTTCAGCCGGCACCCTCTGCCCCTGCCTGGCACTGCCCGGTCCTGGAGTTCGAGCCACACCCTACTTTCCTGGTCTTCTGGGGAGGGGTCTGGGGGGGTTGGGCCAGGGTCAGCCCCTAGATGCTGTACCCACAGGGTGGGGCCAGGAAGCTGGGACAATGGCTTCTTTCTTCAGCCTGGGTGGGTGTGGCTGGGGGAACCCCAGGGCAGGCGGGGGCCAGGGGTGATGCTGAGTCACTCGCCTGGCCAGGCCCCTGCACAACAGCCCCCCACCAGCAACCGAGCTGACGCAAGAGGCCTGGCCAACCAGACCTTGGGACCCTTAGACGGAACCACAAATTCTCCCCAGTCTGGCCTCAAACTCGTCCCATCCAGGCACCTGTCAAGCCATGTCTCCTGTGCCCCCCTTCCCTCACCGAGTGCAGAGTCCCCCAAGCCCAACTAGCCTCAGGGTCTTCACACTGGCGTTCTCCCTGCCTGGACACCTTCACCAGAAGCTGCTCCACTGGCTCCTTACCTTAGCTCTCCGCTCAAGTCACTATCGTGGTGAGGCCTCCCCGTTGGCTTAAAACAGCACCCACAGACTCCACGCACCCCCCCAAGCCCTGCTCAGTTTTCCTCCCTGGCACATTTCACCAACTGATATGACCAAGACTGTGACTCTCTGCCTTTGCTCCGTGACCGCCAATGGGACTCGGCCCGTTCTTCACTTCTGCACTCCCAGCGCCTCACAGGGCCTGCTCCCAGCTGCGGCTCCCGCTCAGGCGAGTGAGGCTCATGAGAGACTAAAAAGCAACAAACACCAGAGCTCCCTACAGAGCTATGTCCTCTCACAAGACAACCCGTCCCCCAACCCGAGAACCAAGCCAAAGAAAAGAGGGGCTCCTGGCGCCCCGCCTCCAGCAGCTCACCGCTTTCAGGCATGCCTGCGCCGCCCCCCACTGGAAGGCTGCTCTCAACAGGTGGCGCAGGGGTGCGCAGGGGTGCCCCCAAGGGAAAGAAGGAGCCGCCCTGCTCTACGCGTGGAGGCGGGTGCGAGCGAGGGCAGGAGGCGCCCCTGCCGGGGCTGCTGGGCAAGGGGCCGACGCCCCGCCCTGCCCGCGACACCGGCTCACCTGGTGAAGCGGACTTTGCAGATGTTGCACTCGTAAGGCTTCTCGCCTGTGTGGGTCCGGATGTGCCGCGGCAGCTTGCCGGCGCCCTGGATGACCTTCTCGCAGATCGGGCACTTCTGGAAGGCCTTGGCCCGGATCTTCTTCTCGACCTTCTGTGACCAGGCAGGGTAGACGTCGCCGTCGTGGGCGCCGCTGAAGTACTTCAGGTAGTAGTCCACGACGCCCTTGTCGTCCACCCGGGACTCGTCGTCGCTGTCGCCTGCCGCCGCGCCCGCCCGGCCCACAGTGGACATCATCTGCTGCAGCAGCGTGCTCGCCGCAAGCCCGTCCCCGTCGGGCCCGTCCCCGTCCCCGTCCTCGGCCGCGCCCGACAGGAAGCCCGGAGAATCTCCAGGCTCTGGGGCCGCCTCTGACAGCGAGGCGGCCTCCTCCTCCCCGGCCCGGCCGTAGTGGCCGTTCTGCGTAGTCGCGGGCGGCGGGGCCACGGGCGGCGGGAAGAGGCCCCCGGCTGGGGTGTCCTCGTCCCGGTCTGGCCACAGACCTGGGTTGCTGTCACCCTCATCCCCGTCTGCAGCTGCGGGTCTCTCAGCCGGGGGCCCCGGCCCATAGAAGTCCAAGCCATTGCAGTCCCCGGCAGCCACGGCAGCCACAGCGGCGGCTACTGCCTCCTTGGTGGCGTCCAGGTCATCCTCAGAGCCGCCAAAGGCCGTCCACGGGAAGGCGGCGGCGGCGGCGGCGGCCGTGGGGGGCAGGCTGTTCATGGGGTTGCTCTGGAAGAACTCGAGGTACTCCTTGGCACGAAGGAGGTTACGCTGATCAATTTGATCTACAAGGTCCAGCTGCCCGGCGTCGGCGCCCGCGTCGGCTGCCAGGATCTGCCTGTCCAGGAGGTCGGCACAGACGTGGCTCACGGCAGGGATCTCCAGCAGGCGGGCGGCGCTGAGGATGTCACCCACGTTGGCCGTGCTGACGGTGAGCGTGGCTGTGTAGGCGAAGTCCATGAGGGCCGTGAGCGCCTCGGCACTGACGAAGTCGATCTCATACACGTTCTGCTGATCCACCACGGCGCCCGACGTGAAGAGCTTCTTGAAGTACTGGCTGCAGGCCGCCAGCACGGAGCGGTGGGTGGGGAACTCCCGGCCCTCCACCAGGATCACCACGTCGCACAGCAGGCCTTGCGTCCGCTGCTCATTGAGCCCACTCAGGATGTCACTGCTGTGGTCGGGGAACGGGATCCCAATGGGGCCGTCCACGCCGCCGGCCATCTTCCGCGCTGAGACCTACGGGAGGAAGGGCAGCGATGAGCGGACCGGCTCTTTGGGAGTAGCACCCCGGCTGAGCCCCAGGCAGTCAGCTGCCTCCCACTCCTCCTCCAGCCCGTTTCCCCAGGTCGACGCTACGATTATCCCAATAGTGGCAACCCTCCAGGCTGGGTGCTGGAGATGCCACCCCGGCACCCTCTCTGCCACTAGAGGGCCCTCAAGGGCGCCCATCCAAGGAGCTACTTGGGGTGGCCTGTGATCACTAAGAAGGTGCTCAATAAATACCCAGACTAGACTTGTTTCCGAGGGGTCTGAAGGCAGGAGCTTCCCTCCCCTCCTGCACTGCCACACCCAAGCCTGCCCCAGCCCCCCCACAACCCCCCCCCGTGGGAACTTCGGTCAGGAAGGCAGGCCCCACGAGGAGTGCCTGACTCAAACCTGGAGCTCCTGACCCTAGGGTCACACCTGTCCCCACCCGGCACCTAGGTCTGACCGCACCCTGCCTCCTGGTGGGGTTAGGGTCCCTTGGGAGCCTCAGATTCAGCAAGAAGGGGCTCAGCCAAGCCCTGGGGACCTGGCCGGGGTCACTGGGGCTACGGTGCGCCCTGGTGGGGTGGCACCAGTGCCTCTGTAAGACAAACTCTTTCTTGTTCTGGAAAGCCCCCAGGACCCCAGCAGTGAGCATGGGGGAGCAACCTGAGGCTCCTCCCTGCCTGCCAGCTTGACCCCCCCAAGGAGGAGCAGGAGTGCAAAATCTCCTGTCCACCTGGTGCTTGCACACAGACCCACCTGGAAGCCCCCCAACTCTCCAGTCACTCTGGCCATGCTGTTCTGCCCAGGACAAGGTCCTGCCACTCTTGGGGGCTCAGTCTCCCTGTCTGGTAAATGGGCAGCGGCCTTTAGCAATGCTGGGCTGGGGGACCCGGCGGTCCGAGCCACCCCTCTCACCCCATGTCCTTTCTTCCGCCTCTGGGCTGTGACTCATCCACCCACTTTGGCACTTGTGCAACCCTGGCTCCTGTCCCCACCCCTTTACCCTCTCAGGGGAGCCCCTGGGCCCCAAGCCACCCTGCACAACCCACATTCTTCTGTTTTTTCCAGGAGTAGGCCCCAGCGCGGGCCTCCCAAGGACCCTGAGACCCCCAGCCTCACCTAGGGGTCCAGCTCTATCCAGCAGGGCCCCTCCTGCTAGGCCTCGAACTGGACACAGGTGCCAGCCCCTCCAGGAAGCTGGAGAGACCCAAAGCCAGGAAAGGCCTACCCTACCCCAGGCAGGCCGGGTGCAGGGTCCAGGCTTCAGGGCGGACACAGAGGCCTTTGTGTGCCACGCGGCGGCACTACACTTCCCAGGACGCCGCTCTGTGGCCCGCCCTCCTTCCCGCCAACCACACCAGCTGCTCACCCCACCCCCGGCCCTCTATGGTGGGGGGGTTTTGGCTCAGATGTGGTTGCTGGGAGGGGGGACAACTCCATCTGAGGCCTAGCTACTGGAAGCCTCCAAGGAGTCCTCTATGGTGACTGCCACCCCCTGCCACCATCTGCTGTCTGGCCCTGGGCCCCGGGGGCAGATGGGGCTCTGGATCAGACTGGCCTCAGCCCCCTCCCTGCCCCAAGCACAGCAGAGACCTCTGATCCAGGCGACCAGTGCCCCAAGATAGCCATCCTCAGGTTCTCTTGAACTGGAAATGTCTCTGAGGGCCTCCAGGTCAGAACCTGCGCTGATCCAGCTGACTCACCCATCCCCATGGCTGCTGGAGTCCTACTTAGAAGGTGAAGATGCCCAGACTCCAACTTGCCAGAAGTCACCAGGGGAAGGAAGGAGCAAACTGGACCTCAACCTCAATCCGTGTGCTGCACTAAGTTCTGAGCCTGGGTCTCCACGCTGGCGGAGCGGCCGTGTCACAGCCCATGTCTCTCTCCTCTCCTACCCAAGGCCTATATTTCCCCAGATAATTCTGAGACTTCCTGAAAAAGCCAGGACAGCAGCATGACTCCCCGTTTCGCAGATGAGAAAATCAAGGCTCAGAGACACCCAGAATTCCGGCCAAGGGCACCCAGCAAGCTGACCCACAGGCTGCCACACCCCTCTTTCTTGCCCTGGAAACTACACCCGCTCTGTAGACACATGACCCACACCCTTTATCCAGGAACACATGCTACCTGCCTGCCACACCCGTCCACTGTGCCCCTGCCCAGCCTCTGGAGGCTCTCCCTGAGGCAGGAGACCCTTAAGACGTGGGCAGTAAAAAGCACCACTGTGGGGTCAACCTGGTGGCCCAGGGGTTAAAGACACAGTGCTAGTGACCCCCAGGGCACAGCAGACCTCTCCTGACCCGCCTGCTGCTCCCCTCAGCAGTGGATTGCAGCATATCTGCCTGTTCTGCTCCCCACTCAGTCTGGTGAATCCTCTTACCCCCAGTAGCTCTGACCTACACCCCAGTTCTTGTGTGCATAAACAAATAACTCATTAAAAAAAAAAAAAAGAAGCACCCACTGTGCACCACAGCACTTCTCACCCAGAGGTGGGGGCTCCTTTTACCTTAAGAGGCCCGACCTGCACCTGAACTTACTCAATGCCCCCCGAGGTGGCGCTTCCTGGGTAATGCCTATCCACAGAAACTCCTCTTCTCCAGAAGCCCCACCCTCAACAGCCAGGGTCCCCTGGGCTCAGGTCCACACCCAAGGGGCTGTCTTTCATCAGGGCAGGGCCCTGCCCCCGCTCTGTTCTCCCTCGTGGGATTTCCGGGGAGGCCGAGGGGCAGGCCTCGGCAGGCTCTTCCTGGGCTGGAAGTGCGTGCCCTCCCCCCTCAGGGCCCCGGCCAGGCCCCCCCACACCCAGTTGTCCCTGCAGAGCTGCACACAGTAGGGGCACAGCAAAACAAACTCTCCGCTGAGCCAAAGACCAAAGAGTTCTGTGCTGGAGAGAGCCCACGCCCAGCCCCACCCAGAGCTGGCTGGCACACCCAATGCCAGGGATGGCCAGGCCCACCTCTGCTCTAACCTAGGGTCACTGGCTATGGCTGCTTCCAAGACAGCAGGCTTCGGGGCTACTTTTGGCTCTCCTGGGGGTCTGTCTCTTGTGGTCCGGGACTTCTGGGACTAACAGGTGCCTTCATTTTCACAGGCAGAGGCTCAGAGAAGTGACCAGACCCCGGCCAAGAGGCGGACCACGAGACGCAGACCCTCTACGTGAGCCACCACTCCACTGCCAAGGACACTCGCTGGTGAGGCCAGGACTGCCCTGCCTGGCCCCAGAAGCAGCAGGACCCATGCAGGATGCACCTCAGGGTTCTGGGAAGCCTTGAGTTGGGGAACAGCAGAGGCAAAGGCCTGGAGGTGGGCACCTAGGAGAAAGGGGTAGGGAGGGAAGAGGTTCCACTTCCAGAAGCCTCCCCAAGGTCAGGTGCAAGGTGAGGGCTGGGGCTGGGCCTCCTCCCACCCACACTCCTCAGGGAGAAGAAAGGGTGGCCACTGGGGTAGGCAGGTAATTGCTACCTGGTGCCTTCCTGGAGAAGTGGGGGGGCAACTTAATGAGGGGTTAAGACCCCTCCTCACACACAGCTCACCTGGCGAAAAGGACAGAAAGCAACTGAAGGACGGGCTGCTGTCACCTACTGTGTGCCGTGCAGGGCTGCCCAGCTTGAACTGGCTGTTCCACTCCCTCGCTGCCTGACCTTGGGAAGAGGAGGTGCCTCGCCAGGCCTCCAATCCTTGGGGCTCAGAATGGTAGCCCAGGGGCTGGGGCTGCCCGAGGCCAAGAGTCCCACACTTATCTGTTCACCAAGCTTTGCCCAAGGCCCTGCTTGGAATCTGCCAGCACCAGAACCCAAGGCCCCACCACACTGTTCCCTTCTCTTACAGATGGAGTGCTGGGAACTTCACCAGCAAGTGCTATCCCAGGAACTCGACCTCCTCCCCACCTAGTATATGCCAAGAAGTGGGTGGTAGGACCCCAGAGGGAAGATAGGAGCGCAGAGCCATCATCTGGAAAGGAAAAAAACAAGTCCAGAGAGGGTGGGCGGTTAGCCCAAGGTCACACAGCAAGTTTGGTGCCCAGGTGTGGCTGTTAGGCCCGCACCCAGCTGCCCCCGCCCCCTCCCAGCCTGTGTTGCAAGGTTGGTCCTGCTGGGTTACCCCGCCCTGACCTGGTGCCAATCCCCGCCTGGCCCAGTCTCTGGCCTGGGGTTTAATGGAACAGGATGCAGAGTCCAAACTGGGTGGGGGTGGGGGCAACATCAACAGCCCAGAGTGGGCTTTCAGTCCCCTGTGGGTGTTGGTCCAGGCCGGGACCAAACAGGCCCTCGGCCATTTTACACATCCATTTATTGCCCTAAATGGGGAGGGGCTTCCTGCCAGGGCCTTAAAGGGCCAGAAGCAAAAAGGCCAAAGGTCCAGTGGGAAGTGTTTGGGGGCGGAAGGAGGGTGAGGTCACGGAATCCCTCCTGACCCCAAACTCATGGGTGGGGCTGAGGCCCACCTTCTTCCCACACTCTGAATGCTGTTATGAGTCAGGAAGTTCAGACTAACACCAGGTTCCAAGAGAAAGCCCCAGAAGACATTCACGGCAAAGACAGAGGAATGAGCTTCCCATCGCCAGGGGTAAGTAAAGCTAGTCTTTAAAGAATCCATCACTGGTACCCCACCCTCCGCTTAGGAGACACCCGCCTACCCCAGAGCCCCAGAAGAGGCCTGAGCGACCTTTAGAGGACTGCTCCTCTCTACCCCAAGTGGCGCCCTCCGCCCCCAGGTCTGCTTGCACCTGGAGGCACCTGAGCTACCTCCGCCCCTAGCCTGAGCAGGTGGAGGGCTGCCGGAAGGCCCAGACAAAGGCGCACTCAGCCTTTGGGGCTCCAGTGTCCTGTGCCCACAAACCCGGCCAGTTCCCTCCCATTAAACACATCTTGATGGGAGGTGGGACCCGGCCTTGTTTTCTAGTCAGACCAGAAAGGCGTGGGTGGGGACGCTGCCAGAGTGGCCATCCACAACCTGCTGGGGGACAGATGGAGGGCTGGTTCTTTGGCCATGCGCCGCACCAGATTCGCCACAGGGTACTTTCTGAGCTTCGGGGTTCTGAACTCGGGACCTGGGGCCCAAGGACAAGGGCTGCTCCTCAGTGAGACTGCAGGGCCTGGCCTAGATCACTTCAAGAGCGACCTGTCGCCCACCCATCCTACCAGCTTCAGGAGGGGGGTTCGCAGGTTAGAAACCGAGGCTCTGCACAAGGAAGCAACTTGCTCCCGGTCACACAGCAGAGCTGGGTTGGACATGGGCTATCTGGTCGGCCTAACTAGTCTTCCTAGGACTCCTCCCTCCCTAGCCCAGAGACCTCCCCTGGGTAGGAGCAGGGAACTAAATCCCCCACCCAGGGGCCTGCGGGTTGAGAACTTATCAGTGGCCCAGGAAAGGGAGGGGTTTGCTGGGGGTAACACAGGGAGCCTGGGGCAGGGTTTGACTCCAGCTGACATCTGTGAACTCAAAGCAAGGGCCTTGACCCCTTGTATTATCCGGGCAGAGATGCAAAAGGGTCCCTTAGGCCCTGACACTGCAGTCACTCAACAAACTTCCAGGGGCCCACTCAGCAGACTGTGGGGAAGATACCGTGGGGCCTGAGGTTAATCTCCCTTCAGCTCCCATGCATCCATACGGTGTGAGGGAAACACCAGCAGAGGAGTGTGACCTTCTAGGCACACCTTAGGTGGGAGCACAGCCTGGCTGGGCTGAACCACACTGGCCTCCTCCTGAGCCAGTTCCTCTGGTCTCTGCTGCCCAGGGCTGCTGCAGGGCATTTTATGTTCTATCACGTAGATGCCTGGAGCACAAGGTGACAGGTAGGAGGTACTCAGTCTCTCAGACAGACCAATGCACTGAGTCCCTGCTGTGCGTCCTGAGCCCATACAGGCACTTCCTCCTCAAGGGAGAGAAGAACACAAGCAGACAGATCTGCAGGCACCACTGGATGGTCCCTATAACTCCATTTTATAGGTAGGGGGAGGACGCTCAGGCTTCGAGGCCAGGGGGCTTGTCCAAGGTCAGAGTAAGTGGTCAGGCACTGAAAAACACAGCGCACTCCTTCCTGGGTCTGGCTCTGCTTTAGAAGGGTTGGCCCTGAGTCTTGGTTCTTGTGAAGTTACCTCAGTCTCCTCAGATATAATGAATGGGTTATAAGACCCAGAGCCCTGACTGTATCTGGGGGTGAAGGTACAGAACTATGGCTCAGAAAATGCGTTAATAACATGAAGGTGCCTGCCAGACACAGCCACTGAAGGCTGAGAGGCAGCTGGGACTCACGCGGCGTGACCTTGCTACCTGGATGACCCTCTCTGAGTCTCTCTGCAGAGTTTGATAAGCCCCAGGGAGGTTCCATTTGGCTGACAGGTGCCTACGTCAACTCTAGGCCCTCTGGAAGACAAGTGGGCAGGTGCCCCTCAGCTGTGGCCACAGGAAGGACTTCAGACACATCCAAGTGAGGAGATAGGACCACAGGAGTCAGGCCCAGCTCCAGCTGGGTGACCCGGTCTCTCCCTGTCCCTGGGCCTCAGTCCCCCGCTCCCCCTCCAACACAGCACCTGCTCTGAGGTTCACACCTGTGTTTGGCTTTCCTGGGGGCCTTAGTTTCCTCAAATGGCAGTGGGACCTGCCACCGGCCTGAGTCTGCTATGGGTCAGAGGAGCCCCAGTAAAAGAAAGGAAAAAAGGCAAACGCAAGAAGCAGCTACTGCCCAAGAACCTTCCCCACTAGGTAAAGGATGAGCTGTGCTCAGCCCAGTCCTCCGCACAGAATAAGGTACTCAGGCCCCTGCAGCCACTGCTGTCTTTCCCAGAGCCTCTGCTGAGAGGTGCGGTGGCTCCTGGCCCAGGCCAGGGCGCTGACTGGCCACCCTGCAGCCAATCAGAACTGAATAATACCCCCCCAAAGTGACCCATGAATTAAAATTTCAGTGTCCTGGTGGCTCTTCTTTCCTTCATTAGGCATGCGGATCCCAGGGCTTTGCCATGGGCTCCTGCCCCCTCCCCCCACCAGAGGCTCCCGTCTCCACAGCAATGGCTGGTGGTAAACAGAGCCCCGAGCCCAGCAGATACATGCCAGGCTGGGCGTGCTCCAGTGCCCCACTGGGGGTGACCCCAGGGGGAAAATGTCCCCTGCCTGGAGCCCTCAAGGCCTGGGTGGCAGTCTGGCCCAGCTTTGGCCCCAACCTGGCCTCCCTAGAGCCTTTCCCAAGCCCAGTTTTGCCAATAGGAAGTAATCAGCTGGTGCTGGGGAGGACCCGCAGTCCCACTGCGTACTCAGGGTTGAGTCTCAACCCTGTTGGGGGGCTGACACGGAATCCCGGATGCCCTCTCCCACAGGCCCTGATCCCCATGGCAGCTGGCAGAGAGGGAGGAGCAAAACCAAACCAGCCACCCATGGGTGAGCCAGGTGGGCACGCCCGGGGAAGGGGTACCAACACCTCTCTCACTTCCGCTGCCAGCTCCAGGGAGAGGAGTTGCCTGCCTCCCCCTGCCACTCTGCCAACTGCTGGCTGCATTCCCCAAACATTTAGTGGGCGCCGACTGGGTGCCCGGGCCTGCTTGGACAGCAGTCTCCTGCTGCGGTCCACCGGACGCCCCCAGCCAGGGAGCGCGGGCAGTGCCTCCCAGAACACGCAAAAAGCCTGGGTCGGGGGGGTAGGGGGGGATGCGACGGGCCGAGAGCTCCGCTTGGCCCCTGCCTGATTCCCAGGCCCGGGGCTGGGGGGGAAGGGGCTGGTTCCCTGGAGGAAGAGCAAGGGAGGGGACCGGATTCCCACCAGCTCACCCCTCCACTGCCCGGGCTCAGGGTTCGCACGTGGTGGTGGCGTCAAGGGGAAGGAGGGGGGGTCCGGGCCAGAGGAGACGGGGTCACGCGCTTTGGGGTCGCAAGCAGGACAGAAAAGTGCTCTCACTCTCCTCCCCGGGGACCGAGGCCGGGCGGCCGCGCGGGTACTGTAAGGGACCAGGCCGGTCCCCCCACCC